GAGCTTGTGTATGAGTGAGTCTGGGTGCGAGTCTGAATCCCAATGGTGCCCCTGGCAGTGTCTGGCGACTAGGAGGCCCGGGTCGACTCCTCTTTGGGAAGCCAAAATGCTGCCCCTGGCAGCGTTTGGTGACTATGAAGCTCCTGGTGGACCCCCCCTGGGGCTCCCAAATGATGCCCCTGGCAGCGTTTTGTGACCATGAGGCTCTCAAGAGAGACATGTTGGGGACGCCAAACGGCAATTCTAGCTGAGGCGTCCCACCAAAATCGGCGCGAACGGGCTCGTGAGATCAGCCAGGGTGGCTCCCCCTTGGGGCTCCCAAATGATGCCCCTGGCAGCGTTTTGTGACCATGAGGCTCTCAAGAGATACATGTTGGGGAGGCCAAACGGCAATTCTAGCTGAGACGTCCCACCAAAATCGGCGCGAACGGGCTCGTGAGATCAGCCAGGGTGGCTCCCCCTTGGGGCTCCCAAATGATGCCCCTGGCAGCGTTTTGCGACCATGAGGCTCTCAAGAGAGACATGTTGGGGAGGCCAAACGGCAATTTTAGCTGAGACGTCCCACCAAAATCGGCGCGAACGGGCTCGTGAGATCAGCCAGGGTGGCTCCCCCTTGGGGCTCCCAAATGATGCCCCTGGCAGCGTTTTGTGACCATGAGGCTCTCAAGAGAGACATGTTGGGGAGGCCAAACGGCAATTTTAGCTGAGACGTCCCACCAAAATCGGCGCGAACGGGCTCGTGAGATCAGCCAGGGTGGCTCCCCCTTGGGGCTCCCAAATGATGCCCCTGGCAGCGTTTTGTGACCATGAGGCTCTCAAGAGAGACATGTTGGGGAGGCCAAACGGCAATTTTAGCTGAGACGTCCCACCAAAATCGGCGCGAACGGGCTCGTGAGATCAGCCAGGGTGGCTCCCCCTTGGGGCTCCCAAATGATGCCCCTGGCAGCGTTTTGTGACCATGAGGCTCTCAAGAGAGACATGTTGGGGAGGCCAAACGGCAATTTTAGCTGAGACGTCCCACCAAAATCGGCGCGAACGGGCTCGTGAGATCAGCCAGGGTGGCTCCCCCTTGGGGCTCCCAAATGATGCCCCTGGCAGCGTTTTGTGATCATGAGAGAGTGTGAGTGTGAGTGAATGTGACTGTGAGTGAGTCTGAGTGAGAGCGAGTCTCATCTTATCTTATCGAGTCCTATCTTATCTTACCTTTATTACCCTCTATCTTATCTTATCTTGAAATTTCTTATCTTGTCTTAGCTTATCTTATATCAACTCATCTTATCGCATCATATCTTGTCTTACCTTATTAATCCATAGGCTGTCTTATCTTATATATCATCCTACCTTGTCATATATCTTATATTACCTTATCATATATTGTGCTATCTTATCTTATCTTGTAGTATCTTATCTTGTCTTGTCTTATCTGGTGATTATCATTGGGAGGAGGGAGGCGCGAGCGGGAGGAAGGAGGAAGGAGTCCGCGCGTGGGAGGCGTCAGAGTAATAACAAGAACCCCAATCCTTAGGATATGGGGAAAAAACATGCCCTGAAGATGCGTAAAATAAACGCTTGTATTTCGTGCCCCCGAGACACGATCCCTCGCAAATTACGGCGGGTTCGCCTCCCTTACGATTGACGCCCGAAATTGACACGGAAAGAATGGGTACAATGCCCAACAACAAATGTTGTCCCAAACCAACAGCGGCCGCTGTTGGGCAGGCGGCCTTCTGTCTCGAATGGACACAGGCCGCGGCGGCGCGGACAGCGAGCCCTGCTCAAAATGAACCAGATCCGCTGTTTGGCATTGTACTCATTCTTAGGGGGCCACTTGCGAACTCTACCCCTACCCCCCACGATTTCTGAGGGGGAGGGTGGGGTCCACTTCGCTCGGGAGCTCCTGAATAAAGTGAACCCCGCCCTCCCCCTCAGAACTCGTGGGGGGTAGGGGTAGGGTTCGCAAGTGGCCCCCTAATTCTTTCCGTGCCCATTTCGTTCGTGCAGATACGATACCACACCTACGATCGTGAGCCTCCTACCAAGCAAGATGGCTCTCAGGAGCAGGACGTGGGAACGCCTGGCGACCTCTGGGGGGCCGCTGCCCAGGGCCCGGGGTGCTTCTCTCAAGGGGGCCAAGGACACACAAATAAATACACACAAATAAAAGGATTCCACATCTTTTCCCATATTTTCAGGGTTCCTGTCTTCCCCCCACTCCACATATTTTCCAATATTTTCTTGGGAATCGACGATTCATTGTGTCTGTGTGTTTTTTTCCCTCCTGATTCTTGGCGACCCAGGACGTTCCGTGGCGATCTCGCAACTCGGAGCGAAGCCTTCCGGGGAGCGCCAAGGAGCGCCTGGGAAGCGACCGGGACCGCTTGGGACCGCCTGGGAATGCCTGGGAGCCCCGGGGATCGTTTGAGAGCGCCGGGGATCGCCTGGGGGCGCTTGGAATCGCCTGGGAACGAGCGCCTGGGACCGCCTGGGAACGCCTAGGCGCGCAAGGAGGAGGAGGAGGAGGAGGAGGGGGATGATGGGGACGGAGGAGGAGGAGGAGGAGGAGGAGGAAAAGAAGGAGTCCTCTTGATGACACGCGAGAGGACACAAGACCCTTCCGGGGGCCAGCTTGCCGCAGGAGTGGAGAAAGCATGGGTCGCGAAGCATAGGACACAAGGGTACCCTTGATTTGGCAGGGTCGACCTACTTACTCATCGACCTTGGCTGGAAACGGTGTTTTTCGTTTTCGTTCCGTTTTTCGTGCTCCCTGGTTTTGCCTTCGCTTCGCCTCGAATGCAAAACAAGACGAAACACACAACGGCCCAGAAGATGGCCAAACCACCGCTCAGGTCCAGCCCTGCTCAGCTCCTGGGCCACCCGTTCGGCTGCACACAGGATCCATGTGTATACGAAAACCACCGATCTGACGCGCTGAGCTACGGCTGCTGAGATGGGCGTCTCTGCCTCGGGCCCCCGTGACTGACCGAGAGCGCTGCGAAGCCTCCCTGTGGTGACGCGCGGAGGCGGACGACGACTCTTGCTGCACCGAGGGGGTAGTGGCCAAGACCCACTTGCAGGCGTCTGGCCCAACTCTGGAGCGCCCCCTGCCCCTATGGAAACACACACACACACACACCCACGCGGCCAGCAAGCCTGTAAAGACAAGCGCGTTCCACTACTCGCAAATCGATTGCATCGAGCAGCATCCGTAATTCTTGACGCTTGCGAGTAGGCACTCCGCGAGTAGTGGAACGCACTCGGTGACTACGAGGGAAACGAACGATGGCATAAACATACAAGCTCGGAGGTCCGCGCGGATTTCTCGGATCGGCGCTGCGCGGAGCGCGCCGGGGGGTGGCGCCGGAGGCGCCGCCGGGGGGGGGCCCAGCGCCGATCTGAGAAATCCGCGCGGACCTCAGTCTTTATGTTTCTGTCATTCTTCGGTCCCCTAACTCGGCGGTGGACAAACCTCCCTTCAGAAAACCTCCCCTTAATGAAAACTGCCTAAGACCGAAACCGACGGACCTGCACCCGCAAAATGACGGCCGCGACGCCCTCTCGCGAACCGAAATCGGCCAGTTCCTTAACCGGCTAACAGACTACAAACGTTTCAGCTCGGCCTGGCTGACTACTCTCTGGGACTTGCGGCGGCTGCCTGCGTGCGCCGCGGGCGCTGCAAGCCGGGCGCCTGGCAGCGGCACCAGGCCAGCGCCCTCTGCTCCGTGCGCGTGGTGCCACGCCGCAGCGCTCGGCGCTGTGGCCGCGCCGCCGCCCGGGGACGGCGCCGGTGCTCCGGGGCCTTGGATGCTCATCCTGGGGACCTTCTTGGAGACACTCGCTCCACTCGTGCGTCGAAGCTGCGTCGAACGTCCGTCGATTTGGGCCGACTTTGAGTCGAACCTGAGTCGAACCTGAATCGAACTTGAGTGGAACTTGAATCGAACTGGGGTCGAACTAGAGTCGAACAGATCCGTTAGGTGGGCCCCAGGAAGGCCAGGAGAGACCAGGATCGAATCGATAAGTCGGATCGGCAATCGAAATGGATCGCATCGGCGGAAATCGGCAGCCGAGTCGGGAGAAGTCGAATCGGAAGACATCGGCAGGCTGGTAGGCCTGCGATGAGGAAGCGGAATCCAGATCGGAACCCCAAGTCGAATCACAAGCGGAAGCCGTCGAGGCCGAAGTCGAATCGAGTCGGAGGAACCGAAGCGAGCCCCAGGAAGGTCCCCCGAGACGAGCACTTGGGTTTGAGGTCCAAAAACGGTGCGGTAACAGACCGTGCGGTGACCTCGAAATCCCCCAAGACCTCACCGCACGGTCCGTCAACGCACGGTTTTGGGACCTCGGATGCCCCTGTCGCCCAAGACATCCTCAGAGAACGACCCGAGTCCCAAAACCGTGCGGTGACCCCGAATCCCCACCGACTCACCGCACGGTGTGGTCACCACCCCGTTTGGGGGCCCCCAATTGGGACTTGGGAAGGCCCCGCGCGCCGACGTCCACGAGCGGCCCGGGGGGCAGCGCCAAGGCCGCGGGCGGGGCCGGCTGCGGCAGCGGCGGCGGGCCGACCTGGGGAGCAGAACATCCACCCTCATGAGAATCACGCCGACACGCGAAGCCGTTTATAGGGAGCCCACAAAGGACGTACGCGCCCAGCTATGTACATGAACACGGCCCCTCGATTCGCGACACCGGCCGCGTGATACGAACATTTGTGCAATGCGTGCTCTCGAAACCAGCGGGGATTCATGTACATGTACGTCCTTCTTTCGCTCCTGACTAGGGAGCAGAAAATCCACCCTCATGAGAATCACGCCGACACGCGAAGCCGTTTCGTAAACGCACCCAGAGAGGGAACCCAAACATGCTCGCGTCGTGCACAAGCAGGACGGGCAATGCTTCTCAACGGTCGGCCTCCAGGGGCCCTCGCCGGGCCCCGGGGCCGTCAAAAAACGACCCGGGACGGAAAGCTGTTCCTGGGGAAAGGGTCGGGCATGTCCCCCTACAGGCCGATTGTGAGCGTTTGCTTTAATTCGGCGTTTCGACATTGGGCGGAAGGGGGGGGTGGAGGCGTGGTGTCTGGCTCCAGACCTCTGCTTAATGCGACTGCTTCTAAGACTGCTGCCTCTGGGGGAGGCTCCACCCGCTCGAAACAGTCGCCAAGAAAACAGCCAATATCTACTCTGGGGGAGGGGGGAGGGGGGGGAGAGCCCGCGCCGATTGGCAACACAAGGAATAAAAGAACGATCACATTTTGGAGGGAAAATGGGAAATGTAGGAAAAGTATACAAAAAATCAAACATAGTCAACAAATCGTCCCCATCCAATTTTTTCTACTTTTGAATACTCCTCCTGTAGAGGGACAGACCCGACGGAATCATAATAACCACCCCGACACGCGCGCGAAGCCGTTTAGTAAACGCACCCAGAGAAGGAATCGATCAGGGCAAGGCTACTTCGTTTTCGCCCAAGGCCGTTCAATAAACGCCAACTCTCGGGTCCGGGTGGTTTTTCTTCCCTTGATGACCGGCACGACCGGCACGCGCACCTAGGCGGCAAGCCAGGGGGTGAAGTGAGAAGGTGCGGGCCTTCTCAGAAGGCTCGGAAGCCCCCCAGCCTTCTGAGAAGTTTTCTGAGCCTTCCTCGAAGACGCCGAAAAGACGCCGAAGCGCTTCTGAGAAGTCCCGCCGCCTTCTGAGAAGGCATTTCTTAGAGGAACAAAAAGTGGCATAAACGTAGAAACTCGGAGCTCCGCGCGGATTTCTCGGACCGGCGCTGGACCGCCCTCCCTGGCGCGCGGAGCGCGCCAGGGGCGGCGCCGGAGGCGCCACCAGGGTGGCCCCAGCGCCGATCCGAGAAATCCACGCGGACCTCCGAGTCTCTATGTTTATGCCACTTTTTGTTCCCCTGTTTCTCCTTCTCACGTCCCCCCCCCTTCGCTCGCCGCCGACAGCGGCCCAGAATGCCCCGCCCAGCACCCCCCGACGTGGCCTCATGACCTGCCCCCCAAATGGAGCCTCCGGCCTCCTAGCCCCCGCGGCGGCCCCAGGACACCAACCCGCAGGCCCCCGAGGGGTCCCCAGGAGGCCCACGAGAGGCGCCCCAAATGGGGGAACGAAAGATGGCACAAACATAACAACTCGGAGCTCCGCGCGGGCTTCTTGGATCCGTGCTGGACCCCCCTCCCTGGCGCGCGGAGCGCGCCAGGTGCGGCGCCGGAGGCGCCGCAGGGGGGGGGGGGGGGGGCCAGCGCCGATCCGAGAAACCCGCGCGGACCTCAGAGTCTTTCTGCTTCTGTCATTCTTCGTTCCCCTGCACCACCCCGCAGGCCCCCGAGAGGTCCCCGGGAGGCCCACGAGAGGCGCCCCAGGGGGATCTGTCCATCCCCATCCCAGGCTTCGTGTGGCTTTCGAGCGGGCCAGAAGTGGGGGGCTCAACCCTGGGATGCACGCTGGGGGAGGGGGGGAGGGGGGAGCGCGTTCCTCCTCGATGGGGGTGCGTCCGAATAGCCCCCGAGAGGCCCCCGGGAGGCCCACGAGAGGCGCTCCAAAGGGCTGCCCACTGACAAGGGGGATCCGTCGCCGCCGAGCACCAGGAACAAGGCGTGCCAGACCGCGTGGGGCTGGAGCGCCGCCGCCCCGCCTGCCGGGTGGGCGCGCGCCCTCCTCCTTCCTCCTCCGCCTCGGCCGGTCGGTCGGAGCTAAAGGCCAGTTCGAATCGAAGCCTCTCCTAGGTGTGGGGAACAGGGCAAGGGAATAAGGACAGGAGCGCTCCTAAAGAGCAATGCAGCAGGGCACGTGCAGTTAGACATCAGGGGCCAAGTCCAACACGAAGGCCAACAGCAAAAAAGAAGAGCAAGGGCCGTCACAATGCAGGGAACGGGCCCAAGGGCCTCCAGAACCCGAATCCACCCCCAAGGATACGAGACACTTCCCCCCCCGCCTCCGCCTCCGCCTCCGCCTCCGCTGCCTCCGCCTCCGCCTCCGCCTCCTCTTCCGCCTCCGCCTCCGCCTCCGCCGCCTCCGCCTCCGCCTCCGCCTCCGCCTCCGCCGCCTCGACCTCCGCCTCCGCCTCCGCCGCCTCCGCCTCCGCCTCCGCCGCCTCCTCGGCCTCCCCGCCTGCTGGGTGGGCGTGCGCGAGCTGGCCGCCGTGGTGCGGCAGGTGGGCCAGGGGGCGCGGCGGCGCGGTGCGGTGGCTCTGGTGCGAGGGCCTGGAGCTCCTCCAGCCCTGGGCGCACGAGAAGCTGCACGGGAGACCCCCACAGGGCTATGATGAGGTCGGGCATGTCCTCCTACAGGCTTCCTCTCTGACGAAACATCAAAACATGGTCAGCACACATTGAATGTTATAGAGACAGCAGGTACTCAAACGACGTCGCCCCCATGCTCTTGAAACTGTGATTTTGCGCACTCCTCCTGTAGAGGGGCCCGCCCGCCTCAAGGCCATGATGTTCCAGCCTACCTCAGCCTGGGTCACCTGCGAATAGGGGGAGGGTGGGGTTCACTTCGCTCGGGAGCTCCCGAACGAACTGAACCCCACCTCCCCCTCAGAAATCGTGGGGGGTAGGGGTAGGGCTCGCATGTGGCCCCCCACACAAAGAATTTCGAGCACCAGGAAGGCATCGAAGCTGGAGGGCCTGCACACGTCGCCTGGGGGGGGGGGGGGGGGGGCGATCCTCGTCCTCGGCACGTTCTGCCAGCGTCTCGGGCAGATACCGTTGCGATACTTCTCGGGGCGCTCGGGCATCACTCCTGGGACGCGATGCCCTGCACCCACGACTGGAACTCACCGGCCGCCCTTGGCCCGAGGCCCCCCTCGCGGCAGTCCGCATCTCGTGCAACTTGTTGGGGGGCCCAAAAGGGGGCCCAGCTGAAAGGGGATAATTAGTGCAATAGATTTGGAGCAGTTGTATTGCAAATGCACTGCGTCGGACAGTGGATTGCATTGTTGTACAATTCATGCCTTGCACGTCCAAATCCGACAATACATTTTCACCTCAGAACGTACTGCACGCCCCAAGTGTATTGCAATCCCACAAATCTACTACACCAAATCAATTGCACCACCTCCTTGTCGCTGGACCCCCTCCTGGGTAAACCCGGAACTTTCGTGAACCGAGGCCCACCCGCGTGCGGAACGATGAGGAGCCACGAGGTCTGTAGGGGTCCGCCCGCTCAGCGACGTCGTCGATCGCCGAGAGCCTGTGCGGCGACTGCAGCACCGAGCGCCCTGGCACCTCGACCTCCACCTCGTGGGGCGAGACACTGTGAGACGCCCCTTGCTTTAGGTCGGGAGTGTCCTCCTGGAGGCGGATTTTGGAAGCCATTTTTTAAAGGAACACCATCAAACAATAATCAACAATCGTAAAACGAGAGTGAGAATTCTTCCCCAGACTGTTGTTTTACTTTTCTTGAATATTCCTCCTGTAGAGGGACACGCCCGACTTAACCCTTGCTTGTAAAGCTGCGGCCGTCGGGTAACGGTGGAAGGATCCCGGATGCGGTCCGAGTAGATGGGGTCGGAAGATCACACCGCATCGCCGATGTATCGGCGGCGTCGTCAATGCGTCGGCGCCGTCGGCGTGGAGAAAATCGGGCTGCGCACCGAGCCGCATCGCCGACGCATCGGCGATGCGGCGCGATGCTCTGAACCCATGTGCTCATGCTTGGTTTGGATGCCTGCGCCCTGGCGGTAGAAAGTCGAGGGTTCGCTGGGGACTGGTCTCCTTTCAAGACGGTCGAAACCCTTCTTTAACCCTCCGAAAACCCTCTGGGAAGGGTTCCGGGACGGTTTTTGCAGGGTTTCGGGATGGTTTTGGAAGGGTTTTCGTCGTTTTGGGGGGACGCCAGTCCCCAGCGAACCCTGGGCTTTCTAACCCTGGCGCGTCCCCCCCGCTCCAAAATTCCGATTATCTGTTTCTTCTCGTCCGTGGCCCCAAGGCAATGTGCCCCGGGACTGAAGAGGCTCCATCGGTTCGGAGATCTGGGGTCCGCGGGGGACCACATATTGGAAGGGGAATCTCAAGCTTTCGTCAGGCCTGCGCAGTGTCCATGAGAGCAAGAACGCAGCTGAGCACAGGAGGGCGTGGAGGCAGCTACGGAGCTCGGACATGCAGGAGCACGGTGCGGACGACGCTGCAAAGCCCTAGGAGAGCAGAGCATTGACAGCGCGAGCACCGAAAGCGCGAGCGACCCCCGACGTCATGACTTTTTCGTGACGTGGGCCCCCCGAGGTCTGGGCCCTTGTCCCAGAGCCCGCACTTCATCATCCCGCGCCGTCTTCTCACGGTCCTGGGGTTGGGTCTGGCATGTCCTCCTACGGGCGGGTTTTGTTTGACAAATCAAATATTGTCAAACACATGAAACACACTTTTTAAAACAAGCCAGAAATCGTAGACCAATCGTAGAACAATCGTAGACCAATCGTTCCCTATCGTAGACCAATCGTTCCCAATCGTAGCACACGGCCCAAAGCCTCTGGCCGTCATTTCCCCGCGGCCGCCGCGGCCGTCGTCGACGTCGTCGCCGAAGGAGGAGAAGGAGGAGGAGAAGTAGGAGGAGGAGGAGGAAGAGGAGGTGGAGGAGGAGGAAGAGGAGGTGAGGAGGCCAAGGAGGAGGCCAAGGAGAAGGCCAAGGAAGAGGAGGAGGAGGAGGAGGAGGAGGAGGAGGATGAGGAGAAGGAGGAGGAGGAGGCCAAGGAGGAGGCCAAGGAAGAG